GCAAGTATACCCGTTTCTGATACTTTAAAGGTGGGGGAACATGAACAAAATAATGTTCTCGAAATTCCGTTCAAAGATGCCCCTCGAGGAGTTGAACTTGTGAGGGCGATGATTGAGGGTGCGGCGCCGCTACCGACTGAGCCACGCGGGCAAAGAGAAAGCGCGCGCCCGATCGCATACATAAAGGCTAGGACGACAGCTGTACGCAGAGTGACATTTAGCGTTGTACACCGTGACGGTGGAATGCATACTCTAGCTACAAAAAAACTACGAAACATCTCCTGTCCCCCCACCTTTAAATATTTTTGTTAACTGTAATTTTCTGATTCTCATTTTTTTACCATACTTTGTTCTCAATTATCTCGGTCCCTGTTTAAGATATGAATAATCTGTCAACTGATGAAATTTTGGTGATATTATGACAAACGTTTTATCAGTTGACACATTTTTGGTATCTCTCCTAGGAACCGAGATAGTTGGGATCAAAGATGTAGCTAAAAACGCTGTTTCAAAGTTCTCATGAAAAATGAAGTCTCGCTCAAAAAATTTGATCAACTTCAATGTGTTAAGATGTTGTTCTCATATTTCTCCATTTCAAAACTTCTACGAATTCCCATCTAGATATTTTCAGAATACTTCTGAATTCGTAACTCTCACCAATTCAGCAAGTCTCGGCAAGTACATGACGTCGGTTGGCGGTGGTGGTGGTGGCACAAATACTGGCGTTTCTTTCGACTGAAAAAATTGAAATTGAGATAGAAAAAAAAAAGAGAGAAAAGTCATTTTGTTTGGGGAAAAAACTGTTTTCTATTGATCTTTAGAAAACGATAGAGGTGAAAGGCCAATTGTTCGGTTTTTGGCACAAACAGTAGAGTTAGGAAGTGATAAGAAACACTTGGTTAGTTTTTTCGTATACTGAATAAGGGGAAATGGAAGAAAATTCGGAATTCTAGAATTTCTAGTAACTCTCACAGAGATCCATCGAAGTCTAGAAACCTAGAACCTTCTATATCAATTGGCTAAAACAGAGAAAACTACAAAAGCATGGCGACAGAGAAGCCGTAAAACCTGAAGGCGTCTGCTTACGCAACGAATAATTGGCGTCGTTTTTGTGGACAACGATATACGATACTTATTTTCGTTTACATCTTGTCAGAAACAAGAAAAGAAGGAAAGACGTAACATTCAACTGGACATGGCGGTATGGCAAAAAGGAGAACAGAAATGAAACTGTGTGAGAATTGAGATGTAAATTAGGTGGAACATTTTGAACAGGGTGTGGCGTCTACAAGTCTTCGAGAAATTTCCCATGGATTTTCCCATGTTTGGATTATGGTCATTTGACATTTTCAGGATCAAAAAGTTAGTTACATAGCATAACTACCTGATAACTACCTCGAAACCTGTAATAGAAGGGCCACTTCACTGTCAAGTTTGAGTTCAATTATCTTAATGCCTATACAAGATACCATGAATCTTTTAACTGATAAAATGTTGATGATATTATGATAAATATTTTGTTAGTTGCCGTAAAACCTCTAATAGAACGACACCCGGATCGTCCACTTTGAGCCTATATATCTCACTTCTTTTGAAAGATATCAAAAAGTGGTTAACTAGTAAAATGTTTATCAGGATATCAGCAACATTTTACTAGTTAGCCACTTTTTGATATCTTTCACAGAAAATGAGATATATAGGCTCAAAGTGGACGATCCGGGTGTCGTTCTATTAGAGGTTTTACGGTACTTATAATTTTTTTTTTGAAAATCAAGGAAACGGAAACAATCTTTTTTGATAAAAATTATGTTTCATAAGGTTTATTGACGTGACATTGAAAAAAGAGTGAGTCACGAAGCGACGAATAAATTTAAAAAAGTCAAATCGCGCCGAAGGCGCACCAGCCAGCTGTTTGAAGCGCCGGAGGCGCGGCAAACAGGCTGGTATGATAAATATTCTATTAGTTGACAATTTTTTGATATCTTTCACATGAAATGAGATAAATTGTCTCAAAGTTGGCATTTGATGTTCGTCCGAGCTACTCAAGCTGAAGTAGAGTTTCTCAACTTTTTTGGATAGGCCCAACTGGTAGTTTTCGATTTCAGTTTCACAATTTTTTCGCTGAATCAAAATTAAAATTTTTTTTCCCGTTTCGCTATGTCTTCGAAAAACTTTGATTCTTGTTAACTTTGATTCTGGTATCTACAATTTTACATGAACAAGTTTGGTTCTATTGACTATGACTTTTCAAAAGTCTAGACTATTCAAACAGAGGGAAACTAAAAATAGCTGAACTCTATGAACCCAAAAAGAACCCAAAAAGAGCGAAAAAAAGTAAATCTGCACCTGATGCGAGACAGGCACATCGACGGCACTTTCCCGATGAGACGACGAGAGAGAAGAGACGGAGGAAGCATCCTCAGCCAATTCTTCAGTATGACTATGAATGGTCACTTGGTTTCCGACAGTTGGAAGATTCACTTTTGCAAATACTTCATCCATCAAATCACCGGAAGCTGGCTCGGCAGCATAAGCATTGTAGACTGGTGTTTCCTCCTAATGAGACAAAATGAGAAAATAAACTTAAAGGAAGCATTATGTGAGTGAAACTCAATTTTTAAACGAAAAAAAGGAAACGCAGTGATCCGAAGGGAACCGATAGGGAGAGGTAGAAGAGAGAAGTAAAGCGAAAGAAAAGCCTCAAATATCGGAAATCCACCCCTTCGAACCACTTACATTTAAAAACGAGCATGTTGTTATGGTTACTGTATCTTCGAGATTTTCTTGATTATCTACCTTGTATGAATAGCTGTTCGTGTGAGTCGTCTCCGTTTTGGTTTTAGTGATTTCGCGTTCTTCGTTGACTTGGATGCTCTGGAAATTTAGAGTTGCGACATAATCATAGCTGTGAATTTCAAGGAAAGATTTTTGAAACCTTATTGAAGCAGATAATATTTTTTCGAGTTTTTGTGGGGAGACCAATTTTTTAATAATTTGTTTTTTTTTGATTACCGAAGCTACAAAACTGAAAACACGAACAACAGTTGCAGTTCTATCAAAAGTTTGTAACTGTAGCAAGTTTGATTCAATTTTCACAGTTCAACTCCTCGCACTTCATGCCAATTCATCTCAGTTCCTATGAAAGCTATGAATAATCTGTCAACTGATAAACTGTTTGTCATAATACCACCGACATTATTGCAATAGCCAATTCTTTTTGTATATCTTTTACGAAATTCCAGATAATTGCGTTTGAAGTGAAAGTATAAGTGGCGTTTTAATCACTTATGCATGAGGAATCAGAATTCACATTACGTTTACCTAATAAAAATTGTAATTAACTTCCATTTTGAAACGAAACATTTTTTTTAACTAAAAAAATGTCTCCGGGACATTGCGCTACCGTTATAGTACAGGCGAATGGAGAGGTTACAGGCTACAAAACCATTTTCAGAGCTTTCAAATAGGCTTTTTCTGATGGGAAACCTTCTGAAATTCGATTATTTATTTTTTTTTAATTTTTCAAATTTCAGGGTGTGTTCTATAAGAGAAAGCGTACTTGAAAACCCTATCCATATTTTTGTAGGTTGAAATTTATCTGTTCGCTGAAAACTAAACCCTGTTTCAGATTGATGCAAAAAATGTTCGATGTCTCTTTTATTCGATGGTCTTTTACTCGATTTTAATCGGTGACTTTGGTTGTTCATGGTATTACTAAAAATCTTCAATTTCAACATTTCGGAACAAATAAAATTCATCTCGAGCGGAAAATCATATAGTTTTCAAAAAAGTTACCAAACCTCGCTAAACAAAACCTACTATTTCAAGTCCTCATCTTATCTTTCCACAAACAAAGCGGTATGATTTTGAGTTATTGTTTTCATTTCCTATTTTTGTGGCTCCTATTTAATTAATTGTAAGCTCTCTATCTCGAATATAACTTACATGTGGATTCAATGGTGGCACATCATAAGCACTAGCCTTGACTGGCGGAGCCTCCTCATGATGATGATATGTCTCCACATTGATCACTGGTGGTCCACCGACTCTTTCCACATTATCCCAAGAATAAGCGAGATTGTGATCCTTGTGATACTTGTCAACTTCCTCGGATGCAACCAAAAGAGTCGTCTTCATGTTATCCTTTTTGATAAGAGCAACAACATCTTTGTGTCCGGTGTTTGGATAGATCAGTTGTCCATTGACTCCGACGATTCGCTGTCCTATCACTAGGCCGGCTGCTTGTCCGATGCCTCCTTGGTCGACGGTTCCGATGAAGTGACCACGGTTGCGTTCGGCGTGCAGGTTGAAACCAAACTCTTTGATCTGGATCGGATTTTTTCTGGAAATATGAGAATATGAGAGGGCAAGGATCTTTGGGAAGGTTCAGAGCCCATAATTTTTTTCAGACTTAAAACTTTTAGACCAACTAAAATAAACATGATTCAACTTGGAAAGTACTAGAAAATGATTCAAGTTGAAAAACTCTATCTATCATAGTTTTGCGGTTGCTCAGCTGGGAACAGCGCAGCACCTCCAACGTTAGGTTCACAAGTTCAACTTTCGAAAAATAATTTTTGAATTTCATTAACTGCCACAACATATTTTCCTACAAATTTAATGGCAGTATGAAACAGATTTTCTAGGGAATAAGTTCTGTCTTCTAGTGCTCTGAAACTTGTCTAAGAAAATTCGAACAGTGTTACTGCGCAGCTACGAAAAAACTTAAAACTCTAACTAAAACATTTTTAACAAAAAGTTATGGATTGGCCAGCGTGGGCTTCTTTAACGCCGTCCTGTATTTGGGTTTCGAGCTCAATTATCTCAATTTTTCTTTGAAATTGTTGATGAAAATAAAGACTTAGTCAGAAAAATCCAACAATCAAAATATTAGAATGGAAACTTATGTATATCCAATCGTTGAAACTGAAACTTCCAGTTTTTCGAAATCATTAAAATTTTCAACGTTCACGAAATTTATTGCAATCTAATTGGCAAGTATACCCGTTTCTGATACTTTAAAGGTGGGGGAACATGAACAAAATAATGTTCTCGAAATTCCGTTCAAAGATGCCCCTCGAGGAGTTGAACTTGTGAGGGCGATGATTGAGGGTGCGGCGCCGCTACCGACTGAGCCACGCGGGCAAGAGAAAGCGCGCGCCCGATCGCATACATAAAGGCTAGGACGACAGCTGTACGCAGAGTGACATTTAGCGTTGTACACCGTGACGGTGGAATGCATACTCTAGCTACAAAAAAACTACGAAACATCTCCTGTCCCCCCACCTTTAAATATTTTTGTTAACTGTAATTTTCTGATTCTCATTTTTTTACCATACTTTGTTCTCAATTATCTCGGTCCCTGTTTAAGATATGAATAATCTGTCAACTGATGAAATTTTGGTGATATTATGACAAACGTTTTATCAGTTGACACATTTTTGGTATCTCTCCTAGGAACCGAGATAGTTGGGATCAAAGATGTAGCTAAAAACGCTGTTTCAAAGTTCTCATGAAAAATGAAGTCTCGCTCAAAAAATTTGATCAACTTCAATGTGTTAAGATGTTGTTCTCATATTTCTCCATTTCAAAACTTCTACGAATTCCCATCTAGATATTTTCAGAATACTTCTGAATTCGTAACTCTCACCAATTCAGCAAGTCTCGGCAAGTACATGACGTCGGTTGGCGGTGGTGGTGGTGGCACAAATACTGGCGTTTCTTTCGACTGAAAAAATTGAAATTGAGATAGAAAAAAAAAAGAGAGAAAAGTCATTTTGTTTGGGGAAAAAACTGTTTTCTATTGATCTTTAGAAAACGATAGAGGTGAAAGGCCAATTGTTCGGTTTTTGGCACAAACAGTAGAGTTAGGAAGTGATAAGAAACACTTGGTTAGTTTTTTCGTATACTGAATAAGGGGAAATGGAAGAAAATTCGGAATTCTAGAATTTCTAGTAACTCTCACAGAGATCCATCGAAGTCTAGAAACCTAGAACCTTCTATATCAATTGGCTAAAACAGAGAAAACTACAAAAGCATGGCGACAGAGAAGCCGTAAAACCTGAAGGCGTCTGCTTACGCAACGAATAATTGGCGTCGTTTTTGTGGACAACGATATACGATACTTATTTTCGTTTACATCTTGTCAGAAACAAGAAAAGAAGGAAAGACGTAACATTCAACTGGACATGGCGGTATGGCAAAAAGGAGAACAGAAATGAAACTGTGTGAGAATTGAGATGTAAATTAGGTGGAACATTTTGAACAGGGTGTGGCGTCTACAAGTCTTCGAGAAATTTCCCATGGATTTTCCCATGTTTGGATTATGGTCATTTGACATTTTCAGGATCAAAAAGTTAGTTACATAGCATAACTACCTGATAACTACCTCGAAACCTGTAATAGAAGGGCCACTTCACTGTCAAGTTTGAGTTCAATTATCTTAATGCCTATACAAGATACCATGAATCTTTTAACTGATAAAATGTTGATGATATTATGATAAATATTTTGTTAGTTACCGTAAAACCTCTAATAGAACGACACCCGGATCGTCCACTTTGAGCCTATATATCTCACTTCTTTTGAAAGATATCAAAAAGTGGTTAACTAGTAAAATGTTTATCAGGATATCAGCAACATTTTACTAGTTAGCCACTTTTTGATATCTTTTACAGAAAATGAGATAAATTGGCTCAAAGTTCACAAACCCTTTCGTTAAAAAAGTACAAAAAATTACTGTTTCTAAAAAATCATATTCCTGGATTTTTGCATAAAAATTAATTTTCCTTTGTTCTATTATGGAAGTTACCTCTCGATTACAAGAATTCGAGCATCCTTGAGTTAGAAATCTATAAACATTTAGACAACGTCGCATACTTGTTTTTTCTCCTCTTTCGAAAATATGTCGAAAGTAGGAAGCAAGTTGGTTATGTGCCTGATTTTGGGTTGTCAGGGGCAACGGGGAGCCGGAGGGAGCAAAATAGCAGAAAAGGCGAAAGGAGAAAAACGACTCCTAATGAGGGGTTGTGATGTGGTGAACTTGTGACACAACTCGGAAATAAAGCTAAAAATATAGCAGTCTATTGTCGACGGGTGTTATGAAAGTTTAGAAACGGCAAAAAATTCTTCAAATTCAGCCATTTGAATGAACGAATCGGTCAAAATGGAAAAATGGTATTTTGGAAACCGGGAATATTTTTAGGGTTTCAAATTTATGGTAGCTTTGTAAAGTTTTCATACACTCTAGTACAATGCCCTTTTCCGCAAACTATCAATTTTGATCTTTTATATTATTTCTTGTGATAGATTTCAAAAATTGCTAAACTAAAAAAAATGCTTATCATAATTTGAAAAATATTTTGTCAGTTGACAATTTTTTGGACTCTTTGACAGGGATCAAGATATATTGGCTCAAAATAGGAAGTTAGAAGAATCACTGTCGAACAAGTCCCAATAAACAATTTTCATAGCAATATAAAACAGTATTCATTTTTCCGGATTATTTTTTCTGTTTCACATTGTCTTCAAATTTGTAGGTCAAGATAAAAAATGATGGTTGTGCTAATCCTACAACAGTTCTCGAATTTTTTTCGCCCTTACAATTAGAGGAGTTGAACTCGCGTGCCAAATATTGGAGGGCCTGTGCCAATACCAAATGAGCTACGCGGTTGCAGCCAGTGCTCGACAAGGAATATCAAACGTAGGAGAAAGGTAAAGGAGTGAACACCGTCACGCAAAATTGTACTCTCCTTTGAATGACAAAAATCGAAATTTCGGAACATATAAAACATAACGTTTTCGAGTCGGACAAGTGAAATGATACAAATTTTTCTAATAAAATAATCCTAATGAAACAGGAAAAAATATAGAATGACACCAACAACAAGATTCCTATTGGTTTTCTCCAAAAACTAAATTTCCAAAATCAAAATGCTACCGAAATTTGAATTTCAATGACGACTTTAAACACTTTGTTTGGAAGTGAAGAAAAAAAACTAGGCTTGGAATTGAAGATCACATTCAGAATTTTTTAAAAACCTACGGTTCAGCAGTGAACTCAAATTGGCCCTTGCTTAAATATTCACAAGATGAAACTGCAAAAAAAATTCGATAATTTTTTTCAAAAGTTAAAATCGCAGTTACAAAACTAGTAATTAAATCTCCAGCTGCAATTTTTAATCACTGCTTCTTCAAGAAAAAAGAGAAAATTGTGATCCCTCCAAACTGAAAATTATTCGCTGAATCAGTCCCCTATAAATGTCTTCTACCCCACTGAACATACGGAATTCAATCAAGTCAATTTCTACAATTTCCTAGCATCCCAAATAGAAAAAATTATTGGAATGAAACGACTAGATGAAGGGGAATAGAGAACATATAAAAATGAATATAAGAGGATGGACACACGAGGGCCAAGGACATTTATTCGAGAAAGGAAATGGTTTTGGAGGAAAAAGTAGGAGGAATAATAATAACTACAAAAGGAGAAATGTTGAAGAACATAAATAGGAACAAGGCTAGGAGATCATGGACAATGAAATTTCGGACAAGAGGATTACAAGTATTTTGGAATTTTAATCAGAGAAAGGAAAGAGGAAATGATACGCGTCGAAGATTTGGAATCAAACCAAAATGCGAGTAAATTTGGTCTTATTGTCACCTAAACATTAAAACGCATAAACGTCCAATACTGCCTGATTAGTTCCTATAAACAAGTTTAGAAACATTGTGAAACAGAAAACGTTTTTTTCGGTTTCATTGTGCTGAATAGTTTCTAGGCGGAGCTAGAAAAAATGTTGTTGGCGCAGGGGACAAAAAATTGAAATTTTCCCAAAATTTCGTTCCAATACGCCCCTCGAAGAGTTGAACTTGTGGACCTAACCCTGAGGTGTCGCGCCGCTACCAGCTGAGCTACGGTATCTTAAGCTGAATAGGCCGAATGATGGGAAATATAAAAGTACACAGTCACGTCAAAACTCATACCATTACTCCAAAAATCTCATAGCTACCATCTTTTAAAGGAACATTTTTTCGGTTTTATAAGGTTTAAAACTTTGTGAGTGGGGCTGGAAAAATGTTGCTCGTGTTAGTTGCTCGTGCATAACTTCATAGCAAAACCTGAGGGCAGTATCAGATTCAGAGTTACTGTTAAAGTATTGAAAGAGGTTTCATGAACGTTTTTCAAAAAAATTTTTAAAAAAGCACTCAATTGGGGTAGCTAACCGTTTTATAATTACTAGATATTCTAGGAATTCTAAAAAAATTGTTCGCGAATTCATGATAATACATATAACAAGAAATGGTATCCGTCTAAATATAGAAATGCTCAAAATTAAGCAACAATTTTTTGTAGGAAATTTATTCATTTTCAAGTGAAAGGAATCGTGATCTAAAATCTGATTGTATGATTTCATGGCTCAGGGTAACGGTCTAATAAATTCAATGCAGTACCCAAACATATCACAATATATGAAAGCGGTAAAAAATTATCATATGTCCAATAGTTTTGGCACACCTTAATTTTAACCCAAATTATCTGAATTACTGTAAAATATATCTAAAAATTGTCAATTAACAAAACGTGTTGTGCAATATTATGAACATTTTCCAGTTGACAACTTTTTGGAATCTTTCCCAGAAAACGATAAAAATTGGCTGAAAAATAGGGTGTGAAAAAGAATAACTTTCTCTTCAAATAAACATGGCACACCTTGAAGAATAAAAAAGTGATTCGTCATAAAGATTCACTTGGAATACTACAAAAGTCACTACTCTTCTGTGCTCATTGAGCTCCTCCACCTTCACGTATGTTCGTTTATTTGTCCAGCCTTGCCAAACAAGCGAAAAAGAGACAAACAAGAGAGAAAGAGAGACGATTGGGTGAACGGTCGAATGAAGACATAGGGTGGGTACACGTTCTCGATTGTTTTGATCTTCCCTCGTTTGACCAGTCTGGGACATTTCTGCCCAACTCTATTATAAAAAAAACCTAGTTGTTACCTTGTCAAATTCCACTGACGTCATCTTGTTTTTAGAATCTCTGGTATATAAATATAGGGATTCAGAAATATGTATGTCGAAACTTCTCAGCGGAAAAGTGAGAATTCGTGAAGTTGAATGAGATATTCCAACGATAAAATCTCATTGGGGATTTATGATCGAGATGATATAGGAAATCGTTGGAATAATAATAATAGTCGGAACGGAACATTTATTTATCCGAAATTTCTACTTGGTGTGAATCCTTGAAGATTTTGCGAAGAGACACTAAATTGTTAGCATTACTCTAAATCATAGGGAAGTTGAACTTTTAATAAAAATTTTTCGAAAATTGAGAGCTCCAATTTTGTAACGTTGTTTTTTGAATTTTCAAAAAAAAGCTTCCAGTCTAATATTCAAAAAAAATACATTTTCAGAGTTTCCAGATAAACTCGGACCATTTTTAGAAATTCAGTAAAATCAGGTTAAAGGTGGGGGGACATGAAAAAAATAATGTTCTCGAAATTTCGTTTAAATATGCCTCTCGAGGAGTTGAACGTGTGGGACGAGGATCGAGGGTGCGGCGCCGCTACCGACTGAGCTACACGGGCAAAAAGAAAGCGGTCGCCCGATTGCATACATAAAGGCGAGGACGACAGCTGTACGCAGAGTGACATTAAGCGTTGTACACCGTCACGGTAGAATGCATACTCTGGCCCCAAAAATCCCCCGTAAAATCTCCTGTCC